TGACTTGTATGGCAAATAAATAGAGTGATATATAGACTATAGAGTGATATATCAAATTGAAACCTTGTATGGCATTATTCAGAAAAATGCTGAAAACAATGAAATTAGCCGTAAAAAATAGAGTGATATATCAAATTGAAACCCATGAAAAGAGTTTTTGAAATTGATTATGTTTTTGCTTCTTTTTTAAAAGCAAAAATAGAATCAAAATCAGTTTTTTCAGAAGTAGATCAGTCCAACTTCTAAAAAACTGCTTCTGTGAGCAATTTAGAGCACCTGAAGTATTTATGCACTTTCACAATTTCAATCAAACACTCCAATATCGGCTGAAGCAGTTTCAAAAAGTAAATCCAGTCGCACCCCAAAACACACTTAAGTTATTTGTTGGTCCGATTTCAATCATGTAGTTTTTCAAAATCAACCCAAGATGGAACACAGGAACATACTCAGTTCAAAGTGACATTTTAAGTTTATACAGAGTATCAAGTTGGAATTTTTTTTTGGGTTTTGTACCTTCTTGTCAATAAAATCAGCCCAGAACCTGGCTTGAGCTCTCTTGTAAGGATCAGAAGGCAAAAATGGAGTCCTTTTATTCCAGACCTCATCAACGTACTCAAGAATGATGAGGGACTCACAGACCGGCTTTCCATTGTGAATGAGAACCGGGATCTTCTTGTGAACCGGATTCATCTCCAGCAAAAGTGAGCTTTTGTTCCGCAAGTCCTCTGTTTTGGACTCGAAGTGGACATCTTTCAGAGACAGGGCCATTTTTACCCTCATCGCGAACATGCTCACTCTTGTACAAAGTAGAATCACCTTATCTTCTTCACTAGCCATAATTAAATCTTTGTTCTTCTGTGCAAAGATTAAGGAAAGCTTTTCTCAAGGTGTTTAACTACCAAAATGAATATGTGTTCTTGTTCTAGTCAACTGATATTTATAATCCATTTTGGATAGTCACTCTTATTCACAAGTCATAACCTGTCTTAGTCCATGTTTTGTTCATCTTCCCCCTCCATTCCATAAAATTCTTCATGGTTTAATTTGGATCACGTTTAAAAAAGTCACAGTAAAGTCAAAATGAGTAGAAAAAATGTAAATGAATTCTAGCTCTATAAAACTTTTCAAAAAAAAAATGAAAAGTTTTTTAAGACATTTCAAATAGATAAATGGGAAAAGTTTTAGAGGCAGTATAATTTGTATAAATTTATACGGCGTATTTATTTAGTCAGGTAAAATACCATGTGCTTGATGGATACAGTTTCTTTAGACTTGTAACCCAAGGGAGGATCTATGCACGGGATATGACAAGTTGAAATCCAGGGAAACTTGGAAAATTTCCAATTTTTTAGCGTAATTTTTTTTTCTTCATTTTTTCACGTTTAGCCCACCCCTCTAATATTTAAACCTAGCATAGTCCTCAAATTCCTGGATCAGCACGTGCTTGTAGGATCTTCTGCTTTTGGACAAATAGGGTTTATGACTTTCTGGTATTACATGGTTAGGTCCTCTCCATGCGTTTAATATTGCTCATGTGGCACGTATTTTACATTTTTACTGACCTGACTAGCTTTTTTCATTTTGGATCTTACATGGCAACGTGTATCACCCAAAGTGGTAATATGAGTATCAATTTTTTTTTTTGCAAAATACTTCGTCTATAATTAATGAAAATTATTTTTTTCTAAATTAATTTATCACTCGTTAGAATTATATTGTTAATGATGGAAATGAGCTTAAAATATAGAAAGGAATAAAAGTCAAATTAGACACTGATTACATGAGAATCTCATATTGATATTAAGATTTCACATGGACCAAATTGGACACTATGGTTAATGGTTACATACTTACATGTGTATTTCATATTGGATACTAAAGTTTCAAATGGATCTTGAACACTCATCAAATAATTTTCCATTTATTAACTATAAAAGTATTCCTTTTCTCTATGTTTTATGTACCTAAAAAATAAAACTAACTTCGTGTATTTAGATTTCGAATATATAATAAGATGTTCCAATTAAGAAAATTTATTATAATGCAATTGAATTCCTTAATATCATTCAATCAATTCGACCTTTTTGTGTTTTAGTATAGGGATAAGGTTGCGGACATCTGACTTCCTCTTATTTACTGTAAGTGGAAGCTTTTGCGACACTACGTGAGATAACGTTGTTGTTGTTGTCGTCGTCAAAAGTAGCGGTTGCACAACATTAGTCTACAAATAAACAAGAAAAATCCTATGCAAATTATATTATTATATCGTTTATTTAACTGATCATTACAAACACTGTTCTAAAAATCGACCTAGTCGGACCGATCAATCAGCCTAGTCAGCCAAAACATCTGCCCAGTCGGCCGCCTATGCACTAGGCGCCCCTCAACTTCCCGACTAGCGCCTAACGAGCTTTAGAACAATGATGACAAGCAGTGGCATATCCAGAAAATCTGTTCAGTGGGGGCAAGTTTGCACTAACATTATCACAATTTTTTAGGAAATAAATATTAATTAAAAAAATTGACAATTTATTAAAAATAAAGACTATTTTTTTTTATAAGAAACAGATAAATTATGTAATTATAAGTTTATAACTGATTTAGGTTACAAATAAACAAGTGTGTTTTAATATTAAGTGAGATGCGATTTAAATTACATACCATTTATTAGTTACATTAAATAAATTATTTTAAACTAATTTGGATCTTAGATTTAGATAATCTATACTTTATTAAATACAAAATAAAAAATATACAAGAAATGGATGAAATATGTAATTTATAAGTGATTTGAGTTACAAATAAATAACTTTTAATATTAACTATGCAAAGATGTTGATGTAATTACATATCTTAGCTGCATTAAAAAAAATTAATTTAAGTTTTACATTTGAACAAATTTTAAACAATTTAAAGGAAAGCAAAAAAACACTACAATGAAGTGGCATGTGGGATTCGAACATGACCACAGTTCCTACGAGTGCGCTACTTCTACCGTTGGGCTACAACACTCTTTCATATAATTTAGGATTTTAAACATTATTATACTATACATATGACAATGATATATGTACACAAATAAAATTTTATATATATATAATGGGGTTGGGTGGGGGTTGAGTGGGGGCAGCTGCCCCCCTGCCCCCATAGTAGATACGCCCCTGATGACAAGTAAGCATAGATGTAGTATTAAAGTAAAATCATTTGAGTTTCTTCCAAGATAATGCTAAATAAAAAATTATTTACCAAATTAAGATTGAATTGAAAATATTTATCAAAATATTGCTGGGAAGAACCGTACGTGGTTAAGGAAAATTACATTTCGCGACCATACGAATTGCGAACTACTCGTAAATAATAAATAATCCAACTCTAATTTGGTAAATTATATTTTATTTAGCATTGTTTTGGAAAATTAACTTTTTTTTGTCCTATTAACACATATTAGCGGCAGGTACCATATTATTGCATGTACTTTCATCATTGTCAATACACAAATTTAGTCATTAATATAGTTAATTAACAAATTATCCGTGAAATTATAAAAAATGCCTTGGTATCTTAGCAAACTTATAGACAATTTAAGAGTTTTTGACACTTTTAGTCATTTGATTTTTAGTCATTTGATTTGATGATTTATTATTTTTATTAAATTAGAGTAGATAAATATATAGTACAATAGTCAAACTTTTATAACTAATAAAAAAATATCTGTAAAAGCCCATTTTTTATAGATATTTACGTCATCTTTGAGCATTAATTACAGGATTATATATAAGAGTTATTATCGGTGTATCCCATTTCTACACCTTCTGTGTGGTCATAAGAGCCCATTTTTTAAATTCATTGTCCCATTTTCATTACCCGCTTTTGTAAATCACACAAATAGAAGAGGCATACCCCAAAATGGGAAACCTATAATATTTTTCTATATATAAACTTGATCCAAAGCTAAGTTATGGAGCATTGGGGCCTGAGATAGTCACTTCATGTTTGTACCAGAGGATAGGTCAATGCAATGTGGTGATCAAAATTGACTCAGAGATGGCCGTTGAACCGTCAAATACTTGCAAGTGGCCGGCCATGTTGAATACAAAAATTTTCTTTCTACCCACTCTTATACCCACTTTTGTACACATCTATGTTTGTGGAGTGTTTTTTTCTGTGAACCCCGGCTCACAGACAATATTTTGCACAAACAAAATATTTTTTGTGAACCCGGGTTCACAGACAAAAAAAAAACCTCCACAAACATGGTGGGTATAAGGTGGGTATAAAAATGGGTACTCAAGCATTGTTGTGTTGAATATGGTTGTTTAATAGTTAGGACATGTTTACTTCACGGGTTATTAAACGGTGCTTACTAAGACCCGCGTTAATAAGCGACGCATAAAATAAGCAACGTTGTAAGATCGTGTTTATTTCACAAGGTTTAAAACATCATTTAGCATTAAAATGTCCAAAATAACCCTATACATATATAGACACACAAACATTCATGAACACAAGTATTATGTGTACCCATACCCCCAACCCCTTACCCCCACCCTACCTTACCCCGACCCCACCCTTAGGCCCTTACCACCCTACCCTTACCCCCTACCACATCAGCCCCACCTCGACCCCACCCTAACCTACCATACTCCTACCCTACCCTACCCCACCTTACCTTTACCCCACCACTACCCCCGTCCTCGGCCCCTAGGCCCTTACCACCCCACCCACTTACCCCCTAACCCCCTACCATACACCCTATCTGACAAATAGTTTAACATCTATTTGAAAACATTACTTTTTTTTAAAACAAAAAAGAAAATGGAAAATTGTTTTCTTGATTATTTGTAAGCCTTCCATGTAAGCTAAAGGAGTGTTTGTGACTGCTTCAACTTTAAAAAAATGATTTCTTAAAGTGATTTTAGACAAAGTGCTTAAAAGTAAAAGTTGATAGTGTTTTATAACAAAAGTGATTGTAGTAGAAAAGTTAAATAGGAGTGTTTGATGAAAAAGTGAATTTTGATTTAATACTCCTTAGTTTGTAAAAGTACACAAATGCCCTTATTTGAATTAAATAGCAAATACGCAATTACGCATGTTATCATCTATGGAGCGATTCCCCAGGACTCCGTCAATCTGAGTTATTTCCCATGATTGTTTACATAGAGGCTTGATATTTGCAAAATGCAGACTTCCAGCCCAGGATCAATTTCAACTAGCTAGAAATTTATTTTTGAAATTGTTGGCATATTTAAAGGGTTATTTGTCAATATTATTTGATTGCAGGCATGTGTGATTTTGTCTCAAATCAAGCAAGGCCGCTCATATTCCTCATCTTCAGAACAAACTCATAAATTTCCAAAGGGTCTGCGAGGTTGTTGGAGATGGCCTTATTTTGCAGGCACCTTTTGCCCCATTCTAACATCTTTGGACACTCGCTCTCCATGTTGAGCTTTAAATCGTTCTCAAAAGCCAGAAGCCATGTATAGTATGACACCAAAACTAAGTCCAAGAACCCAATGCTCTCCCTCCCTCCAAAATAAGGCTCATCTCCTAGCTCCCCTTCCAACACCTTCAGGCTGTCTACTAGTTCCTCTTTAATGGCTTTTTCATCTTTCGTTTTGAACAACCATGCCTTCAAGCTCTCATAGATCTGCATCATTAATAAAAATTTGTCTCTATACACTCAACCATTAATGGATTGATAGAATATAATGAAAACTGACCAGAAAAGAAAGTGTGTGAGAAAATGAAATGACCAAATTGAACCTAAACATAACCGCCCGACCAAAGTTATTTGGATCGATTTCGAGTACTTGCTTTTTCGCGGAAGAAACGGGAGTGCGGGAGGCAGTAGCTCAAAGGCAGGGCTAGGGAGTGTGTCATTATCGAGACAGATGCGCAGGTGATTATATCAAGATTGGAAGATGGCATAGGAGGTTCATATTTGGATACAATTATTGATGATATCAGATAAATTCTTTCGTAACGAAAGTACGAAACAGATTTTTTTGTCCACTATGGTAAATGATCAGCGAATCGTGCGGCCCATGGTTTAGTCAGAGCATCACTTTCTAATGCGGGTGATAGAGAGTTTAGTTTGGGTTCGATTTATATTTTGAACCAACTAGCTAACGATGGTTTGGATTAGTGAAAGGTTCTTGTTTAAAAAAAACAGACTTGATTTAAATAGTTCAGATAATATTTAATCAATAATAAATTACCATATTTTTATGGGAACATATCATTTCAAGTTAAATCATAAATTTTGGTCAAATTGAAAGCCTCGAGAACACACCTTATTGAAACTGACATTTTAAGTTTAGATCAAATTAGATAATAGTAATATATTGGATCGTGGGTTTGAAAATAATGCTACATCCGTTTCAGTTTCATATTGGAGGTCTTGTTTTAAATCGATACAATTATTAATCAAGTGTTTGAAAAGTAAAATTTGCATAAAATAAAATAAAATAATAGTATGAATTATGAACTACTCCGTATTATTTGTTGCTATAAAAGGAAATAGAATATCCATTTTGAATATAAGACAATAAAAAGGGAACAGAGGAAGTATAATACGTAGAATAATTAAAAAAAAAAAACAGGAAGTATAATTAGATACCTTCTTGTCAATAAAATCAGCCCAGAACCTGGCTTGAGCTCTCCTGTATGGATCAGAAGGCAACAATGGAGACTTTTCACTCCAGACCTCGTCAACGTACTCAAGAATGATGAGGGACTCGCAGATCGGCTTTCCATTGTGAATTAGGACCGGGATCTTTTTGTGAACCGGGTTCATCTCTAGCAAAAGTGAACTTTTATTCCTCAAGTCCTCTATCTTGGATTGGTAGTGGACATGTTTCAGAGACAGAGCCATTTTTACTCTCATCGCGAACATGCTCACTGTTGTACACAGTAGAACCACCTTATCTTCATCTGTAGCCATGAATCTTTGCACTTCGTTTCAGAGGTTGAGGGGATCGGAGGATTCAAGCAAGATAAGGGCCAATAATAAATAATGGTTCTTGTCGATATAATGTTTTATACTACTAACTATTTACGAGGATTCTGCAGTATTTATGAATTATGACCCGTTTTGAAAAAAGTGAGGTTACAATCAAGTACATCGTGACCTGTTTCACTCCATACTACCTGTTCTAGTCCTTATTTTACAATTAGTCAATTACAATAAAAGAAAAATTGCCAATATAATGTGATTCACTCCATGTTACCTGTTCTAGTCCTTTTAAGGAAACTAAAATGTTATTCATATATTTTTTCTCTTCCACATAAATATCAATCCCACAATTTTGATTTTCTTTTTCATTTCCGTGCTCGCTCAAAGTCCACTTTATTAAGAGTAGAAGGGAGAATTGTTATATGTTTATAAATTATACAGAGTAATAACATATATATAAACTTAAAACTATTTTAAACTGAAAAGGAAAGATGAGACAATCTCATCGGGATGGAGGGAGTACTACAAAAAAAAAATATCGCATTTCTATTTGTGTGCTGGTTTTTTAAATACATTTTGTATACAAAAAACATTTTTATGCACTCTGTAATGCTCTGGAAATCAGAGCATTTTTTAAACACCATTATTTTCCCGAAACATTTTTTAATGGACACACTACTATTCTAAACTCACATCTACCCCTCTGCATATGAACCACGTTGAGGTCTCTCCCAAATGAAGCGCTTTCTCTCTTGATAAAGTCTTCCAATTTGTCTGAGATATCTGATACTCCGTATTGTTTTGCAGGAAAAAATCGTTAAGCTTTTGGAGGAAATGGACAAGGGGAAATTACCCTGGGAAGAGTTTGCAACAAAGTTGAGAGACAGACTTGCACAAGAACAGGATAGAAGCACCAACCTCAAGAGTGGTAGGACAGTCACCGCCTAAGCTGGAGGAAAACTTTTATGCTACTCTGCTCCCGGAATATCTTTGTCACAGAGAATAACCCCTTTGATCACATTTCCATTCTCACTAGTTGCATGGAAAAGCAGAAACTCATTTGTGTCAAAGCAGAACCAAACATTGGAAAGTACATATATAATAGAAGAACATGCATTTTTTCTTGTTCGGTGCTTTTCCAGAGTAGGAAACATATTTTGTTACTGCAACTGAACTCCATTATTGCAAAAGATGTGCATAATTAAAAAACACGCATTTGTTTTTTAAGCCCCAAACACAAAGATGCTAGAAATGAATACAATTACTAAAAGCAATTTAAAATAAGGGAATATAACCTTACATAAGAATTAATATATGAGTAACCCAACTAATTATACCAATCAAGGAAAAGAATTGAAAAGGTTAGTACAAACAGAAAGAGCAGAAGAAAAGTCCGGCTACTGCTATTGCGTTGAATGGCTTTTGTTAACTCCTTGTTACCAAGCTCTACATTCATTGTAGCTTCAACTGCCTGTTACATCAATGGAATTGTTGTTAAATCAGCTCTTTATCAACTTCAGAATGTAAACAAGTAATCATAAATGTGTGTGTTACCAAACATATTTGTCGTTCTAGCAAAAGAAAAACACCCCAAAATACTGTTCATCATTTTAACAGTTCAATGAATATTTTTCTTCTGATCTTCAAAATGTGCCAATATTAGCTCATCGTACATTAAATGTGTGTGTGCCTTGAAAAGTAGAAAATGCAATTAATGCCAAAAGTTAAATAAGAATAGCAGAGAATCGGAGTATTTTGTAGCATGTGTATGTGTCCTGTGGTAGGCGCAAGCCAGGATAAAGGAGGGGGTGCTGTGATAGGCGTGTGACGGCCAACAGTGTCACTTAGTCACATCACATGACATGACATGACATGAATCGAATTATGAATATCGCATTGTTGTTTTCTATATGTGTGCAGTGACTTTTCTAAAGCACGAACTAATTTGGGACAGGGGTAAATGCATTATATTCCAATAAATCTTTGTCAAATCCTAATGCCTGATAGAGATAGGTGGAAAATAACATTTTTCTAAAATTCAACATGAATGTAACACAAGAAATAATAAAAGATTCACTAACCTGGTCATACAAATACTCAATCTGTTGGGCCTGTTGAAGAACATGTGTGGACATTAGATGGTTCAAGGCAGACATTTCCACCATCTTGGTTTCAATTTCTTGAACAGCATCCAAAAGGCCACTCAACTCTGCCTGCATTACAGATCATGTAATAAGTTAATTCTAATGGTCAATTTGGGTGAAATTTTTACAAGGGTGGATTGAGGGCTAAGCTTTTAGCTAGTTTTAGAATTGAGGTTTTATGAAAATGGAAGGAATAACATAAAAGGTGAAAGTATAAAACATCAACACCCTTTACTTGTTTCTAGAAATATTCCTTTGTTATAGACTAAACCTCCAAAACCTTCCAAACCCCCATACCCAAAGAGGGACCCTATGAGATTTTGGACCTATCAAAGACTTTTGGTTTTGAGATCTGCCATCTAACAACAATCATATAGGGTCTGCTTGGATGGAGGGTTTTGGAGGGGAAGGCTTCGAGGGCTTAATCTATGTCTTGTTATATATTAGAGTTTTAATAAAAGTTAATAGATTATCTATTATATGTGATCACATAACCTGCAGTTTATTTTTTCAGAAAGTTTCTATTTCTTATGATAAAGACTAAGCCCTTAAACCTTTCCTCTCTAAGACATCCATTTAAACGACCCCTTTGTTTGAGGGACTTGAAGGATTCTGGAGAGCCAACTTACTATCATGATGTCTGTAAGATTTTAATAAAAACTGAAGAGTGAAGGTGACATAATACACTACCATACACAAATTCAATTACCCTTCATTTGTTTTAGAAGAGCTCAATTTATGTACTTAGCCCTCTGAAGCCTTCCTCTCCAAACGCCTCTACCCAAACTGATCCTTAGCAGAAAACATAAGATTACCTGAAGAGCCCGTGTTTCATCATCTAAAAATTGTTCTTGAACTCTGACAGGATCTGATCGTAGTTCGTTGGGCTCCATGGTCTGAACATCACTTTGCTTAATTTGTTCTTCTAAGTAAGAGGGTGTGGATATCTCTGTTGCACTGGTTTTGCCGGCCTTTCTAGGTTTCCTTCTCAGTGCTCTACGGTTTATAACATTTTGATAGTGTATGGCTCTGAGTTGGTCAAATTGCGAAGAGACGGAGTGAAGCTTTTCGCATAAAATCAAAACCTGTTAATATGTTTCAATCAATTGATAAAAATATTGGTGTCTTTCAAAACTATGTTTGCGCCAAATAATGCATTTTCATATTCACGATAAATCCAACAACTAATAATGAAACCATAAATCCTGATGCCTCTACACATCAATTATCTAGATCAAAGAGGTCTCACAACTATGACTTAATCCAGAACATTTACCCTTATAGGTTGATTGGTTCATGGGGTATACACTGCCTTGAATAATATGATATGATCATAGCATGTAAGGGAACTGTTTGGTTCATGGAAAATGGTTTTACTGGTATTGTAAAATATTTGAAGACAAATTCGGAATATTCTATAATATTACAAAATAATCTTATATTATCTTTAAAAGGAGGTAATGTCATTCTACTTTGTCTTTCTTAAACATCTGAACATGGTGATACCTAGATCATATCATCATGAAATTTAATGCTACGCTACCTAGATGAATCGATTCGATTACATTACCTAGGTAATGCCACATTCCATTAATCAAATGCTCCATCGGTTAGTAAGTTACTAATACAGATGCTGGGATGGATCACTAAAAACACATAAACCATTCGAATCTAAAAGAGGAGATTATTGTTACCACTCCATGTTTATGTGAAACTGTATCCGCATTCACAGATCCAATCCAACCCTTTGACTTTGCATCTTCTACTTGATTTATACTGGTTTTTAGAAGATCTATTTGCTCTTTGCAAGATTTTATGAAAAAAGTTACCTGCACAGAATTTTATGATCAAAGTTATGTTAAAAGAGTCCCTACATGCAATAGAGTTTATATCATTCTAGTTTAAAATAATAAAAAAAAACAGGCCAGACTCATCTCAGTATTGAAAGCATTATAAACATTGAATTGATGATTTAGTTAAGTGGGAAGTTGGGGAAAATACTGATAGAAGTCATAGAATATATCAATCTTACTTCATTTTCAATGCTATCTCTCTCTTGTTCAGTTGTGCGGTACAAATCCACATAATCCTTCTTATGTTTTAACAAGAAGTCTTCGAGGACTCCAATGTATCTACCTGAAAAGAGAATTTCTTCAATAAACATTTCTGTAGTCTGCATTCAGAGATCCACCCCCAAAAAGAGTACATTCATTGTTTTAAGCAAATGGAAATCTGTTTTAAATACAAATTTTTAAAAATAAAGCATGTAACAATAAGAAAGAGAATAAGCACTAAAAATCAGAAAACTATACCGTCTTCAGTGCAGCTTTGATGAAAGGTGATCTTTGTCGCGGTTTGCGCATTATAAATGAAGCTAATATAGCTGCTATTCTTGTCTGTAAGCAACGACAACTATGATTGGTTAGAAGACATCAATTTGCTTCCGAAATTCACAAGGAACAAACCGATGTGCAAAAGAAAACACAATCTAAATTCTGACTTAAATATGGAAGTGAGCATTAAAAATGCACTTTTAGCAAAACGAAAGTAATGCTACAATAGATTGATCGGTCGGGGTCACTGAATTCGGCTATAATGCAAACACTAAAAGACAGAAGCCATTCGACAACCTAGTTACCCTAGAACTTCTAAATCCATATATGTCTCTTTAATATTGTTGTGAGATATGGGTGGACTCTTCAGATTTTAAGACATGAGTGTAAGGCTGCAATAACTGGGATTGGCCGCAATGAGAAAACTAGGAGGCCCAATAAAAAACACTATGAGCCCCTTGGTAAGCCTTAAAATGTTGAAGTGGCAAAATCTGTTCAAATGGCTTCACTGGTGCAGAAATGACTGCATTTATTGAATTATCTTAAAGATACATATGTAAATAAGTTGAAAGAGCTGATATCTAAAATTGAAGCTAAAAGTATCATTTTTAGCCATTTCAGCTCGTGCATCGAGAATAGTTAGCGTTTGTGAAAAAATGGTTGACAAAGCTGATGAACTAAAATGAAGCCTACCGAACAGGCTAAAGTCCATATTACAGTGGGAGAGAAAACAACACATGCTGAAAGTAAAATGTGAACACGGTGAGGACTTAGACACCCTCTTTGGATTTCAAAGCCTTGGAACACTAGACTAATGATCAAAGAACATCGAGAAAAAAACATCAGACCAAATTAAGGATAGAATAAAACGGGCAATATGCTAATTGATTCAAGGTACCTCATCATACACCAGAGACACTGCTGATCGGTGGACAGCGTCTTTAAAATCCTCAGTTCTGTCTCTGATGTCCACCATCCCTTCACTAAAAAAACACATTCCATATTATAAAGAAAATAAACTAAACTTATTCCATGCCGAAAAACATTGAAAGCATAAAAATGGCGATTCTTGAAAAAGAGTAAAAGACCCATCAAATTAACTGAATAAACATAGAATGAAGATCAATTTAGAAGATATATAAACAGATGAGTCTATGGACCTTACTTGAAAACCGAGCACTATGTCACTGGCAACCCAATATTTCAAGCTTCCAAGGTTCACTTGTGCGCAGCTTTAATTCGAAGCTGAAGGCGCAGCCGCGCAGCTTTGAAAAGGTTTGGCTAACTAGGGCAATCGGTATAATGATAGAGAGTTTGTGACTTTGTAGCTGGTGAGTGAGTTTGAAGTCGAGGCGCAGAAACATATTCTTGAATTTTTAGATTAGTAAACCGATCGGGTTATACGGTTTTACGGTTTATAAACTGAACCAAACCGAAAATATTAGTACCAAACGGTTTGGCTAGGCTAAACCAAACCGAACCAAACCTCAATTTTTCGGTTCGGTTCGGTCAAACCGAACCACTTTGCCCACCCCTAGGTTTGGCTATTTACATTAAGCAATTAAGGGTTAGAAAATGATAAAACGAACTCCAGGGGTTTCAAACTCATTCTTGCACATACTTGTAAAATTGGGCATCGTGGAGTTAAACAGCAACATCCACATGTAATATCCAGCAAGGGTTTGTATGACTAAAAGATAGAGACAAAGAAACAAAAGCAACACTGAGAAATAGAGAGCGATCAAACAGTTACATGACTGTTAATAAGCATTATGTAGTAAGGTCATGGAATCTAGAGAACAAAGCCACAAAGGAATTCCACACATTGATCAATATCTACCTTAATCTAAAAGCAAAAGAATTCCAGGAAACAGTGTTCCCGCCGAAATCCATCGCTATCTGCTTGCGTTGCTTTTTTTTTTGGCTTATTGCGTTATGCGTTATTGGGTTATTGTGTTATATTGCATCCTTTTTCCCTCTGTCTTATTCCGCCGTTGCAATTGGAGTGTTTGAGAGGTGTGAACAGTTGATGGGTATTTTCAAGGACTCTTATTGGTCTACATGGGCGGTTGCACAGTGTCTCCAACTGGCTGCTCATACTTGCAAGTTGAAGCTCTATACTCCTTCATTAGTCACTTCTTCTGATGTGAAGACTCAACCTAAAGCCAAGTGACCCACGGTTGATAGTGAACCAAGGTTGATAATTAAAAATTGGCTATAAATATAAACTTCTACACAGGTTCACTCACACCAATCCGCTTGAAACAGCTTCTCAATTAGGTCTCCGTTTTTTTTTATCAATGAAAGCTACTTCGACAAAATTATATTGTGAGGAGGTTCTACGTGTTAAATGATCTAATATAGATCTTTATTTGAATAAAAATTTGTGAGTTCTATATCTGATTAATATCTTGAGGGTTTTATTCCTATTGTGTAGGTATTACCTTGATGACTTTATTTTGACTGAAATTACAATACATTCTGCAGGGATAAAATATCCATGCCCAGATTCTAGAGCAACTCATAGCCAAATTTCATAGGCTGTTCAGGGAGGGACGTGTGTTTGAGGATATACTACTACGTATATATTTATCAAAACTACCAATACTGCTTTAACATGAATAAATATATTTGGATAAGCTTAAACATGAAATCCATGAAAGTAAACATTTGCTTATGAACTTATTCAGAAGCCAATATATATCGACCAAAAGATTGTTCTGATTTTCATTTGTTGTTTCCAGTAGCAGTACAAGTATGAGTTCCCTATACGTGTTAAGCAATATCAGTTCCCTTTGTGTCAAATACAAATATTTACCGAAGAAATTACATCAATAATGCTACTAGAGTAGTTGAAGTTCATACCAAGCATACAAATAAGAGATTAATTCAACAATACATTTTTGTAACTATAGGTCAGATCATTCAAAAAATGATGTAAACCCAGCTTTTTATAAGAATAGATGTTTCCTAAAGACAGAAGATTGTGGACAAAGTTCGGAAAGTAGCTGCACATGTATTTTAATCTGTTTTTTAAATTAAATTAAATTATTTAATTATTTATGTATTTTATTAATAAGTTTATTAAGTATTAACACGTTGACAACTATCTACAAAAGTAAAATAGCATTATCAAAACCTTTCGTTCGTATTCTACCCAAAATGCAACTTATTTAAAAGATCCTACGTAAAAAGTTCATAAATGCCATATTTAACACATAAACACCATGTGTGTAAAGAGATGCTTAGATTTTTTTGCTAACAGGAATATTTGAAGGGTACAATCATCATTGAATATATAGGACACACACTTTTGCAAAATCAGGCTTGAATATAAAAAGTAGCAGTAACATACCTTTTTCTTCAAAGTCAAAGCTTTCAGAAACATAATTTGTACAAATAGATTGCAAATGTTAGACCATAAAAGAGAAACAGAGAGAAAGGGAGTTTTACCTAAATCTGAAATTCTTTCGGGTTGACACCGTTTTTAACATCTCAATCACTGATAATAAACAATACCTATCCCCAGTTATTGAGATGTACAGCATCGACATGCTTGCTAACATCTCATATTGCAAACTAATATTGTTTTTGTACAGATCTTGGCCGTTCACCTAAATCTGAAATGTAATCGGAATTAACAGAGGTTGTTTCTTGGGTAGTGTGCATGTGTCGGTGTAAGGAGAGCCAGTTAGAGGAGGCAGAGGACCGAGAAACACTAAAGCGGCGGGATGATGATTAGGAAGGCGATGTTGCAAAGAGTAAGAAGAAGAGAAAGGGGTGCGAAAAGGTTTGAGAGGCTACCAGAACATTAAGAAATTAGGAAGATAAATTATCTTTTCCTTTATTAAAGGACGGAGAAGTATTTCTTAAAAAACAAAATCAATGTCAAGTTGCTCAAAAAATAATTTTCGCACTTACGTAATAATGGCTTCATTTTTTAAAAAGGTAATTAATCTATTTAAAACAATCCTTAATTCGACATCAGAATAGGCATTTGGAATCCACTGATGTCTCTTTAGTTCCTATTTTAATTATAGATATAATTATTAATTAATAATTATTTAAGGTAGTTCAGGTATATTTTGAGAAATAATTTTAATAAGTATATACTTCGTAATATATTGGGGTTAGTGTTGATAATTGTAATGTTATAAATGTATTATTTTAATATTTAATAACTAATTTATCAGTTAAGATTGTTAAATATTTCCTAAATTGAAAATAAGAACCTTTAAATGAGACGTCCAAGGAGGAAAGTGTGAAACGTTTCAAGGTTCTAATGTTATAACCTTGAAATTATTATACTTTTACAATGACTAGCTAATTAGCATGTAATTAATCGAATATGGCGCTCTCAAAAAATAATATTTTAAACCTTTTTATTATTTACGGCATCATAGATTAATGAATAGCCATTTTAAAGGTCTCGAGTTCGAAATTCAATAGATTGAATTTCTGTCCAATTTAATCCATGTCCTCCAACCCCTCCACAGACACCCCTTGAGTAAAAAAAAAATAGAGCTCTATATGACGCAAAAGGCATAATATATATGAAGTGGCCCAGTTCAATAAACAGGCTCATCAACATATTTTGTGACCTGGATTCATCATGAAATTAAGATATCCAGATATGTCAAGATATATTTAAATTGAGCCTCAAGAGTAATTATTATTTAATTTGAAAAAGGTGCCAAAATATATCTGATTTATTAGAAATAGTAGTCTTTCCAAAATGTAACATTTTCATTTCTCTGTTGTGTTTTAAAAATTGATGTATAACACTTTTATACCCAAAGGAAGTATAGTATTTCATTTCTCACAAATTCATATTTGGATATTGTTTAATAATGTCATAACACATTTCACATATTTGCACACTCCCTTGATTTGCCAATTCACACGGGCAATCCGTGTAAAAAAAGCAATTCGTATAAATGCAATCACCGTATTACTTGAGATGTTTATACCTAGACTTATTCCAGTCTCGAACCAAATCACACTTAAACAAACCAGACCAGATCATACTTGGATATTAGAAATTGTAGAAGCACATATTTGAACATTTTCCCGCAAATTTAGATTCAAGTATAATTCAAGAATGACATAACACACTTTCACATATTTTACTCCCTTATTATTTTACTTATTTAGAGAGACAATTCTCAAACCGTGCATCGCACGGGTGAGTTTACTAGTTAAGATTGAAAGCCAATAACAGGATAATAATAATAATAATAATAGTAATAATAATAATAATAATAGTAATAATAATAATAATAATAATAATAATAATAATAATAATAATAATAATAATAATAATAATAATAATAATAATAATAATAATAATAATAATAATAATAATAATAAGAGCCTAAAAGCAGGAAAGGCAAATCTGTAATAGAACAACAATGACAGTAAGAGAGGTGTTGAATCTGCCATTACAACAAAATCTTTGAGCAAAGCCCACATTCTGATCACTCACTCACTCACTCTTCTTGTTTCTTTTGCTCTTTGGCTTGATAGCCTCTTCTTTGAAATTCACCCCAACCACACTCTTTCTCTTTCCCTTCTTCACAACTGATTCATCTTTAGCCTCGGCATCTCCACCATCACTCTCTGATTTGATTTCACCTATTTCAGCATCCATATACCGCACTGCACTAAGCCTCCCTTTCCTCTTTTTCTTGCCTGTCTCAGGGGTTTTGCCAGTCTCCTTAGCCTCAAGAATGCCTTCACCATCACCCTCCTTTACCCCCATAATTTTGAGCTTCAAGTCAGGCAGTGCTTGATACAAAGGCAATGCCAGAGAACCAGTTAGTCTCAAGTGAAAGCTCCTCAAGCCACCCCATCCCTTAGGAACAAAGCCAATAACACCACTAATGGCTTCCAACACATTGTCAACAACCTCGCCAATCTCCATTGACAGCTTCCCAACCTTCATCACACTACAGGTTCCCGTGGAGAGATAAAACAAGCCCGACCCGCACGCCCTCTCAACCTGCATCTTCCAGTTCTTCTTCGTCAAGTCTACAGGCAAAGGCAGCTTCTTTTTCTTGAAAAAGATCTTTCCCAGAAGCTTCGGAAGGAAGTGAACGATCCTCTTGTCCACCAAGAACACGTCGTAGGAACCGCAAAGTTTCCTTTTTGCCTCATAAGCCTTGTAATCTGTTCTCAGCTTTGAGAGCTTCAGGACTTTGCTTATGGGTACATCCTGGGACTTGATTATCTTCTTCGCTTCTGCTGAAGTCAGGTTGGAATTGGACCGGTCGTCGATGATGAGACAGCGCTCGGATGATTGGTCGTGGAGGGGGTGCGGTAGGGCGACTCGGAAAGCATTGGTTCGGGCCATCGGAGGGACTTTCTTGAGGGCAATGGTGAGGTGGATGAACTCGTCTTGTGGTAGTAGCTTCGGCGCTTGTTCCTTCGATTGTGCGTCCTTCCATTTGAGCAAGGCGGCAACAGCTTTCTCCACTGTGCCTCTTGTCACATTACCGCCGGTGACGGCGGCGGCTGGCAGAGTTTCTGTGGACATAGCACCGCAGTGACGATTCTGAAAGGGTAAAAGGTAAGAAAGGGTGCAGGGTTTAGCTCAAGGGCATATGACAATGATTTTCGGGTTATACTACATGGGCTAGGATTCGGGCCCAACACAGCAGTTGGACCACTTATTAATATCAAAACAGTGACAAATACTAGGTATTCTGTATATAAGAAAAAATCTATCTATATATATATATATATTAAAACAGAAAAGTGTGGGAGGGAGTGTGGGGGGAGTTTTGGAGGAAAAATTGGTAAATTATATCCTACATCCGGATGTACGTACATCCGGTATTTTTGTAAATATACCTCTGAGTCAGCATGTTCTCTCCATCATCTTTCCTCTTCCGCTGCTATCTTCTTTTTTTTCTTCTTCTACTGCTTTTTCTTTTCTTTTCTTCGGCCGCCTTCCACTTTTCTTTCTTTCTTCCGCCACCTTCATGTTTTCTTTCTTTTCTTCCGCCTCATCCGTTCTCATGGTTACTTTTACTTTTATCTTTTTATTTTTTTATTTTCTTTACTTTTAAGTGGTTGATTTCACTTTCTTTTCTTTTGTCTTTTTTCTTTTTACTTCTTTTCCTTTCTTTGTTGTTTACTTCTTTCTTTTTTCATATAATATATAGCGATCACATTATAAATGGGTTTTACCTTAAACTCAAATAAGTAAAACGCCTAAAAATGAACATACACAAATGAGTTTTTAAATTTTTGAATACTCATTTTGTAAATTATGTATGTTCATTTAGTATCTCTATTGTGCTCATTTTTTAAATGTCTTAGCAATGCACATTTCAAAAGTCTCATATTACATTATTAGATTTATATAAGAGTTGACAATAGACACGAGACCACAAATCATTATACTCAATCGCATATTCTAATACTCAATAACGGGGATTTAATGCTCACTGAAAATGTCTTGATGCTCAACGAATAAAACTTACAATTTTCATATCAATACTCATCTTGTAAGTTACACATGCTCATTTGTATAGGTCTGATGCTCATTAATAATTCATTAATGCTCATTTAATAGAAGTCATGATTTTCATCAATCTCAACAGAGGAGTTTTGATGCTGAATGAAAATGTTGTGATGTTCAACCAACAAAGCAACTAACAAATCCATTAATACTCATGTTCTAAGTTACATATGCTCATCTCATACTGATCTTATGCTCATTTTCTAAATGTCATATAAATGCATTTTTTAAAAGTATTATCTTATGATAGACTTCTAATACTCAACATAATATGTTTGATGCTCATTAAACGTTCAATATTACTCATTCACAAGAAACTATGATTTACATCTCAATAGCAGATGTTTGATGCTCAATTAAAATATCGTGATGTTCAACTAACAAACTTTACGATAAAAAATAACAACAAGAAAGTGAATTAGAACATATTAAGCAGGTATCACGATTCTGAATATTAGACTCCTAATACTCAACAGAATAGGTTGGGTGCTCATTAAACGTTCATTATTACTCATTCTCCAGAAGTCGTGATTTTCATCTCAATAGTGAAGGTTTGATGCTCAATTAATATGTCATGATGTTCAACTAACAAATCTTACGATTTTCATATCAATGTGCACTTTGTAAGTTATGTATGCTCATTTGATACTGATGTTATGCTCATTTTTAAAATGTCATATCAATGCATATTTCAAAAATATCATATTACATTAGACTCGCATATTGAAATTAATAGAAGTGAATTTTAGATATAATTTAATAAGTTTGTATAGCAGAAAAAAATATAGAAGATATGAAGCAGAGATCGTGATACTCATTATTAGCCTCATAATACTCAATACAATATTTGAGATGCTCAACAAAACTACATTATTGCTCATTTAGCAAGAGTCATGATTTTTCGGTTAAAGTACAAAACTGCCACCGAAAAAATAGGTTGTTTTAATTAAATGGACTGTCTTTTTTAATTGGACCTTTTTTGTGGGCCTTCCGTTGGATTCATTTAATTCAATTCAAACTGGGTCATTTAATTAGTTTTATAAAAGAAAAAATAACAAAACGAAAATGAATTAGAAGTTATCAAGCAGAGATCACAATTTGAATATTAGACACCTAATACTCAGCATAATAGGTCTGATGCTCATTAAAAGTTCATTAATACTCATTCACCAGAAATCGTGATTTTCATCTCAATGTCGAATGTTTGATGCTCAATTGAAATGTTGTGATGTTCAACTACCAAACCTTACGATTTTCATATCAATGTGCACCTTGTAAGTTATGTATGCTCATTTGGAATTGAAGTTATGCTCATTTTGAAAATGTCATATCCATGCATATTTCAAAAGTATCGTGATATAAACCAAAGATCGTGATACTCATTGTTAGCCTTATATTATTCAATACAATAGGTCATATGCTCACTAAAAGTAGACAATTGCTCATTTAGTGATCACTAAATTTTAATGAGCATCAGACCTATTAGGAACCTAACAATATATGATAAAATTATAAATATATTTATATAAATTAATAGTATGATTCATATTTTTTACAAATATATCTTGAACTTTATATAAACATTTATTCTTGCACTATATGATGCATATTTTTTACAAATACAAATTTATTGGAATAATTGCATAATTTAAAATACTCTAAACATCGTTAGAATGTCGTGGGCAGTTAACATTCTAAAATTCCATTTATGTAATAAATAATTTATATCTCTTACAATTTAATTTTAATAACATCCTCATAAATGTTTTGTTTATTTTAAATTATGTAATCATCATCATCACAAATGTAGCAAATTACATTTGTGATGACAAATTGATAATGCTAACATAATTTTTATATGAAGTTTGAGACATTTATATTACATGTGAAAGTTTGGATACTTAGCTTATCCCACACTCAATGTGTAAGTTTGGAATACTTATCTCACACTCATTCAATGTTTTGAATGTTTAAATTATTTTTCTCATTAGATATAGAGTATGAATTACATTATCATTAAATTTTTTACAAATAGTTTTTTTTTTTAATTTGATATTCGTGTTACTATATTCCAGTAATGTGTATGTACAAACAATTAGAGGAAAAATTATTTATTGATTTGTCTTTCAAAGACGTCGTCATCATCATTACCCCAGTGTCATAAAGGCTCCCACCTACACTGGGGTAAGAGAGATCGAATGTACGCAGTCTTACCTCTATACTAAAGCACATAGAGTCTTTCAAAGTAATGTGCTAAAATGTACAGCTTTAAAATATATGATTGTTTTTTAGACACAAGGAAATTGATATATTTTTAGATAATAATCTTGAAATATTTATTTTTTGCTATCATTTATATTTTCAGTTGATATTATTACGTTATGAAAATTAGATTTTTATATCATAAATTATTAATTATATATTATTTGTATCATTCAAAAATTTACTTTTTTACATATGAGAAATATATTTTCCGTGCATCGCACGGGTATAATACTAGTTGTAATAATATCTTAAAAATGTGTAATCTTAAAAATAATATAATAATAAATAATATACTCCCTCCGTCCCAAAAACAACTTCACAGTTTGACATTTACACAGATTAAGAAAATAAATTTGACTTTAATGTGGAGTGCACTGTTTTGCAGTGTTTAAACACTGGTTAGACACTGTTTGGCACTGTTTGGCACTGTTTGACACTATTTTGATGTAGATAATTTGCCAAATAAGGAAAGTATTGAAGTGTGAAGTTAATTTTGGGACATCCATTCAAGGAAAGTGGGAAGTTGCTTTTGGGACGGAAGGCGTATAATAAAAAAATTATAAACACCAATAAGAGTAAGGGTGTAAGTGATATGAGAAAAGTGTTGGCATACTCAAAAAGCAATAGGGTGTTTTTCATTATGCATATCTACATGTGCGTTTTAACTCAATTGACATCTACATCCCTCATAATCCGTTTGAATGTTATAATTTGTTTAAATGGTGTTGTTTTAGGTTAAGCTAAAGAGGAATCACAATCCTTTTTTGTTTCCTTTTTTATTCTTTAGTTTATACTCCAACATTTATGTTGGTTAGATAGAAAAATATTTTCACTCTTTACTCTAATTCATTGATTGTAGAAGTTATAGAGTATTGTTGTTTCCAAAACTAATAGTTCAAGGGAATTAGAAGGCAGCTCTCTGAATCCTCAAACCAGGCGAGCTCCTGTTGGCACCCCGTTTGCCGGAATTTTAAGGCTGAAACGCAGGCTGCGGTAGAGCATCACTTCTGTGATTCGACATCAGCGAGGGACCCAACTATCCAAGATGAGAAGACAAATAAGACGGAGCGTCGCAACAAGGCAATGTAATACTCCGTATTTTTTTAATCCCATAGAGAAACTATCGATTTCGAATTTGTTTAACTTTTTAAGAATTTGTTAATGTGTTGTTGTGAGTGAATCACGGAGTATAACTTCATTTTCCTGATTTGTTAAATAGGTTTATGCTTTTTAAAACCAGGCTCGTGATTGTATCTGTATTGTTTAGTTGATTTCAAATCTTGGTTTAGTTAGTTAGTTTCATGAATTTAAATTTACTTTAATACTTTTTAACTTGTTTGCATCTATAATAAATAATAATAATAATAATAATAACAATAAATAAAATCTTATAAGCACCAATGAAAGTAAGGGTATAAATGGTAAGAAAAAAGTGTTGGTGTAACATCAAAACAATATTAACTTGAATCAAAGGCTTAAGTTATTGTACGACACTCTTTCTCCGTTGAGTTTTGATTATATTGCATTACTCTGTTAAGTTTTGATTATATTGCATTTCTCCGTTAATTCTCGCCCACTCCAATTGTCATAATGTCATTCCCTTTAGAGTGATTGCTATTATTATTATTATTAATTACTTAGTTTTTTTGTGAAAATTAATTACTTAAGCCCCTCCTATTTTGGTGATTGAACTTCTTGAATTCCTTCACTCCCGTTTTTCTTCCTATTTCACTGCTATACTTTAATTTGCCCAATTTTCGGAAAAGATGAAAGCCTACACAACCATGCACGCGATGTTATTTTTAGTAGTTTCGTCTCTAAACCCTAA